GAGAGGGATGGAGAGCAGACTCCTTCCTGAGCGGGGAGCCCGATGTGGGACTTGATCCGAGGACCCTGGGATCATGACCTGAGCTGAAGGCAGATGCTTAACCAACAGAGCCACCCAGGTGTCCTGGTTTTTTGTACATCTTACTTAACTATTACTTAAACCTTGGAATTAAGAGCCCCCTGCACTTTGGCCACCTCACCAGGGTGTGTTGGGCTGGACCAGAGTGGGACCCTGAGAGTGAGTGAGAGGCTGTAACCAGACCACTGGAGTGCTACCCCAGGCCTCTCCTTGCTGGGCATCTCCCCAGAGTAGGCCAGGCCAGCCGGCATGAGATACCAGTCTTCAGGCAGCACACAAACTTAGGGATCTCAGGAGCAGTGTGTTCTTATCCTCAGAGATTTTAGGGGAGACCTCAAGCTCAGCCTGTCCCCCAAATCATTTTTCTCAAGGGGCCTTCTCTTCTTACCTTCTACCCAGCTAGCCTTGAGAATTGAAGATGATGAGTGCCAGGCCCCTCATCTCCTGATGGGGATAGAGGCTGGATGGAGGACAGGTGATCCAGGACAAGTTCCCCCTGTGTCTTCTCCCCTGGTGCTCAGGCAGAGAAGAGCAGGGAGGCTATGTGATTAAGAATCCACCTGAGATAAGTCAATCAGAGAAAGACATGTATCACATGACCTCACTGATATGAGGAATTCTTAATCTCAGGAAACAAACTGAGTGTTACTGGAGTGGTTGGGGGTGGGAGGGATGGGGTGGCTGGGTGATAGACATTGGGGAGGGTATGTGCTATGGTGAGCGCTGTGAATTGTGCAAGACTGTTGAATCACAGATCTGTACTTCTGAAACAAATAACGCAACATATTTTAAGAAAAAAGAAAAAGAAGAAGATAACAGGAGAGGAAGAAAAGGGGAGTATGTCAGAGGGGGAGATGAACCATGAGAGATGATGGACTCTGAAAAACAAACTGAGGGTTCTAGAGGGGAGGGGGGTAGGGGGATGGGTTAGCCTGGTGATGAGCATTGAGGAGGGCACGTTTTGCATGGAGCACTGGGTGTTATGAACAAACAATGAATCATGGAACACTGCACCAAAAACTAATGATGTAATATATGGTGATTAACATAACAATAAAAATAAAAAAAATTAAAAAAAAAATCCACCTGAGAGCTCCTGAGAAGAACCTCCCCTCCCCCCCACCCAGCCCCATCTGATTTGTGGTCAGGCAGGGGCCTAACCTGGATGAGAGACACCCCCCACCTCCCTTGGAGCCTGCAGGATTCTTCCCCTCCCAGCCTTCCCAGGCACCCCCCAGCTCTCTCCCACTGGCTGGCTTCTCTGTTTCTTCCCAGGCAAATGCCTCAGGAGGCGGTTGCAAAGACCTACTCTGCCTTCTCTCTGAGTTGGTGCTGTGAGTGGGAAGTGGATTTCGGTAACAGCCTTCCTTTCCCTTAACTCAGGCCCAGCTTCTCTCCATCCCTGCTGTGATGCATTGACTCTTTGGGTCTCTCCCTGTCCTGGACTTGCTCTAGCAGATGGCTCCGTCAACGTGGCCCGCAAGCAGGCCTGGAGAAGCCTGGCTGAGGGTCAGCCGTTTGGCATAGGGAGCTGGCAGGCTGACTCCCTTCTCTCCTGCTGTTTGCCTTGAGGTGATGCTGTGTGACTCCATTCTGAAACTTACTATTCAGTTATGTGGCAGCATAGGGATGAGGCTAAAAAGACACCGATGAAACAGCCTGGGTCTTCAGTCCTCTCCTGTGTACATTGGTCTGTGAGCTTCTTCAGGAAGTTAGAGGAGGGGAAAAAAAAAACGGCCAACCCCAGGTCTGGGCCTTCCTGCTGGGCTTTGTTGCTGGCCGGACCCTGACCGCCTGGACATGTCCTAGAGATAGCCCAGAGCCATGTGCTGTGGGCATCATGGGACCTCAGAGCAGGGATGGCTAGGAGGGCTTCCAGGAGGTGGCTTGAGCACAAGTCTCAGAGAGTTCCTGGAGACCGTGGAGAACACAGGCATGGCATTCTAGCACTGGAGCAATGCAGTTACGTGGGGGGACTGAGGCTGCATTGGAGACGGCTTGTAAGAAAGCCTTGTATTTGGGGACATCTGGGTGGCGCAGTTGGTTAAGCATCTGACTCTTGGTTTCAGCTGAGGTTGTGATCTCGGGGTTGTGGGATGGAGCCCTGTGTTGGACTCTGTGCTCAGTGTGGAGTCTGCCTCGAATACTCTCTCCCTCTGCCCCTCCTGCTCATTCTCTCTCTCTAAAATAATCTTAAAAAAAAAAAAGCCTTTGTATTTGGTGGGCATAGAATCTAATATCCTTCACTGAATATTAATTAATCAATGCATTTATTCATTTCAAACATCATCACAGTTGGGTTCCAGCCAGGCCACACTGAATTCTGCCCTAAATATGGTTGGCCTAAAAAAAGTTGTGGTCTGGGACCAGACTCCAGAAGGTTAGCAGGTAAGGTTTGTGTCAGTGTAGGGGTATGTCAGGACGACCTGAGGACTAGAAGGCTAGCAGCATTCCTCCCGCAGGGGAGATGTCCTGGCCTCTGTGAGTGAGAGGATGGTCTGCACGTGGAGATCCCATGATCAAGAGCCAAGGCCAGCCCAGTGTGGGCTGAGAAAGGGAAGCAGTTCCCAGGAGCAGCTAGTGGAAGTAATGTCCTGCTGGGTGAAAAGGCTGCTTTTCCTGCAGGTCTGCATTTTTTTTTTTTTTTTTCAAAGCTGCTGTCCTGCCCCTGCCAGATTTGTAGGCCCCTTTACTGCTTCCGGGGGTGCTCAGAGCCCTCTTCATTTGCCCTCCTGCCCCTATCCACTGCTGAGACTGTGGTTGTTATTGGGGGGCACCCAGGGCAACACTCAAGGCTAAGATGAAGTCCCTCTGCATTTGCCTTCTGTCTTCTCACAAGCTTCTCTCCTGGAAAGAGTGCTGAGGAAAGAACCAGGGAGGCAGGCAGGCAGGCGTCTGGGCTGGTCCAGCTGGGTCCAGGGCCCCTGTCTTTGGTTGAGATCACTGACCAGCCATTGATTGCTAAGCACAGAAGCAAAAATGGGTGTGGGAGCAAAGCCTGGGTTAGGGCCGACTGCCATAATTTCTGGGCCTGTTCATCCCTCTGTGAAATTAGACTCAGGACACCCAGGTTCACCTCCCACCTGGCCGTGGGGTGCTGGTTGAATCGTGTTCCCTTGACTCAATTTTTGCAGGTGCACCAGACTTAAACCAATATGTGCTTGGGGTATGGGTGGAAGGTAAGAGAGAGGGGGGGAGAGAGATGTGCACCGGAGAGAGCAGACATCCTGAACAGGAGGGACTCTAATGTGAGAGGCCAAGGGAGGCAGCATGATGGTGGGGGTGGGGGGTGTGTGTGTGTGGGAGTGAGACTGTCAAAATATCAGGAGCTTGTAGAGATGTGTTAGAGTCCCTTTAGGTCTAAAAAGTATTTTATGGTTCCATGGGCAAAACACCGAACTAGCTTGTAAGGGAAATAGGAAGTAAAGCTGAAGCAATGCTCAGTTTCCAAGATCTCATAATGCAGTTACAGAGCAGATACTCCCTGAAGGTCAGGATGGCGGTGCCTTTGGCAACAGGAAGACCAGATTCTGTCAGGGGTGTGAACTGTTCTAGCAGAGAAAGAGTTAGTAGCACTCAGGAAAGGGGAGAACAGCCTCCCCACCATCTGCTTCTCCACCAATACCCTGGGCCCTCACCCTGCCTCAGGGAAGTTTTGACCACATGTGCCCTTCCATTGGTGGGGGCCGGACCCACTTTGTGCCCCAACTTTTTTTACCATACCATTAGACAACTGTAAAAATAAAACCTTTATTGTCACAAAACCTTATTAATACAGGTCCACAAGCCCTTATGTGAAACACTTCGGGCCAGATATATTTAAGAATTTAGAATTCTTTGGGTTTTAGAAAGTGCCAAGGTGCAGATGCTGAACATTACATAACATCTCCAGAGGTTGTCTGGGGTGACACAATGTAACCAAACACATCAGTACTTCTGTGGAAAATTGTGAAAAGGCGCAATGGCCCACAGATAGCCTCATTTCACTTCAGGTTGGGTTTTGATGCCAAAATCAGGAAGGAACTTCTGGTTTGGGGTTTTGGATTTCAGAACCGCAGATAAGGGATTGCAGACCTGGACTTACATGCCCATTTCCAGAATGGCACAGTGGCGGTGCAATGGTGAGGTGCCCTGACTGTAGCCAGACTTCCTGGCCTCCCTCCTGGCTGCAGCATGGACCAGCTGTAGGACCTTGGGCTTCCACTTCCTTTCCTGTAGCACAGGATTATTAATTCTCCTGCCCAGGTATGCCATGAGGATTGAACAGTTTAGTACCTGTAAAGTGCTCAGAACCCTGTTTTATACCCATGGATCATGATGGCATTACGAGGAGAGGCAGACAGACATCTAAGACACATTTTCAGTACAGTCAGATAGTTTGGAGCTCCCTGCTGAGGCCCTTCAGGCCACCAGGGCAGATGAATCTTTTCTTAGTATCACAAATCTTTCACATCCTTGGTCTTGGGGCCTCCCAGGGCTGCAGACATGAAGGTTTCAGAAGTCCCAGAAGAGGCTCTGTCATACCTTAGGGTCCTCCAGAGAGGTGGAGGGGGCCTTGCCCTACGAGGGGCCCAGCCTTGTGTCCTTTATGATGGTGGAGTGGTCCCGTTGCTGTGGCTCTGGAGTCCCCTCCCCTTGCACATCAGATGGCCACGAGACTGGAACTGCTTTCTGAATAAACAAAAATGTGTGCTCCCCAGGAGATTCTTGTTCACAAGGGAGATGTGGGGTTTCTACTCCACTGAGAATTCAGAGGTGAGGCTGGACCTTCCCCAGACATACCCTTAACAAGAATCTTTTTTTTTTTTTTTAGATTCTTATTTATTTGACAGAGAGACACAGCGAGAGAGGGAACACAAGCAGGGGGAGTGGGAGAGGGAGAAGCAGGCTTCCCGCGGAGCAGGGAGCCCAATGCGGGGCTCGATCCCAGGACCCTGGGATCATGACCTGAGCCGAAGGCAGACGCTTAACGACTGAGCCACCCAGGCGCCCCCCTTAACAAGAATCTTAACAAGCATTTCCACAGGACAAGGTGAAACTCCTCTTTCCCTTATTGTAAAACTTCAAACCATCCAAAAGGACAGGATGGAAAATTCTGACCATATCATTTCCCATCCTAACGGGCCCCTGGGCAGCTGTCCCTCTGAATTTGTCCTCATCCACAGAAAGATACCACCCACACACAGACCCTCACCCCCTCACCCCACACACCTCCTCATACACCCTCACCCCCTACACACCTGCATGTACATCATGGACCCCCTCCCCCTCATGCTCCCAGAACCACACACCCTCACCACCCCCAACACTTTAATCACCTTTACAAAAGAAAATATACATACACACAAGAGCACACTTATACAAAGAGGCAGGCATTTGGCCACTTCTTCCAGATGCCAGCAGATGGGGTCAGGATGCTGCCCCCATAACTCCTTGACTGTTAGGCAGAGGTGGGGGTCCTGGGTCCCCACCTTCCATTCCCTCTCCCCCTCCAGGGCCTTTCCAAGGTCAGGCCTAGTGGTCTTCCCTGGCTGTGGGATCCGCGGTGTCCTCAGGACAATATATGGCTATGGGGTGGGGATACTTGGGCTTTTCCATAGATGGGGGACAGGGGCTCGAGAGTAGTTGCTCCTCCCCAGGATGGGAGCAGAGCATTTCTCCCTACAGGGCTTGTCCAGCTGTGAGGGCCTTCCACCCCTGTTTTTCTTCCCCGCCTATCTTGAGAGTACTGCTTGATGAAGAGCAACACTCCAGCCATTGGCAAGAAAGTGATGGTGAAGATGGTGGAGATAAGCACAGCAGTGGTTATCCACGGATGAGAGGGTGCTTCTGCGGAAGGCAGAGAAAAGGGGGCACCAGCCTCAGGCCATGGGACTATCTCTGGGTACCCTGGCACCCTCCCCTGCTCCTCCTCATGCTCTCTGCCAAACCCAGCTCCTCACCCCAGGCCACAGTGAGCATACGGTTCAGGCTAGAGTGCTGCACATGGCAAGTGTACCGGTCCTCCATCCTGGCTGCCGCCCACACCACCACCCACGTCTGGTAGGTGCCATCTCCACTGGGGCGTGTCTCCACATACTCAGTCTCTAGAACCAGCTCCTCCTCGCCCAGCCACCAGCTCAGTGAGATGTCCCGTGGGTAGAAGCCCCGGGCCCAGCATTTCAGTGTGATGCCCCCATCCTGGGCTGTGTGTCTTGTCACCTGCACTGTGGGCGGCTCTGCAGAGAGAGGTCGAGGGAGGAAGGCTGGTGAGAGGCTGCTCTCTGCCCATTTCCTTGTGCTTGATCCTGGGCTCCCCTAGCATCTTCCAGGGTGGAGGATAGGGAGGAGATGGAGACAAGGTCTCTCTCCAGGTAACGCATTCAACCAATGTTTAAGGAAGGGATGACCCATTGCCAACCATCCCAAAGGGGCACAATCCTGTGACTTCCTGCCCCCAAGCTCCAGGGAGGTTCTGGGTGGGACTGTTGGGTCCTATGTTGACAACCCCCTCCTTCCCACAGAAACCCTATGGGCTTTTTTTTTTTTTAAGATTTTATTTGACAGAGAGAGACATAGAGAGAGGCGGAACACAAGCAGGGGGAGTAGGAGAGGGAGAAGCAGGCTTCCCGCTGAGCAGGGAGCCCAGTGCGGGGCTTGATCCCAGGACCCTGAGATCATGACCTGAGCCGAAGGTGGATGCTTAATGACTGAGCCACCCAGGTGCCCTGAAACCCTATGGTTTTCTCAGAGACTTCTTTACATACGTCCATGACTTCTTGCACATAGTAGGTGCCTAACAAAAGGTTGAGTGAAGGCAAGAATGATGGTCCTTCCCTCACTTTGGAAGGTGGTGGTCACGAGGGTAGCTCTGGAGTCAGACACCCTGAAATTACAGCCTAGCCTGACCCCTGTCCACAATCTCCCAGTCCCTCAGGGCCTGATGGGGATTCTTTGTTCTTTTCTCTCAGTGTTGTCCCAAATGACATCATCCAGGTGTGACAGTTCATTTTATGTGTCAACTTTACTGGGCCACATGGTGCCTAGCCCTTTGGTCAGTCACTCTTCTGGGTGAGATTCTCATTTGAATCAGTAGATGCAGTAAAGCAGATTGCTCTCCCCAATGTGAGTGGGCCCCATGCAATCACTTGAGGATCAGAACAGGACAAAAAGTCCCAGTCTTAAGAGGGAACTCCTCTGCCTGATCTCTTGCAGCTGGGGCATCAGTCTTTTCCTGTCTATGGACTCAAACCGAAATTTTGGCTCTCCTGGGTCTCCATCTTGCCAACTGCAGATCTCGGAACTCCCGATCCTCCACAGTCACGTGAGCTAATTCCTTAAATATGTCTCCTCTCTCTCTCCACATCCTGTTGGTTCTGTTTCTGTGGAGATTCCTGACTAATCCACCAGGTGATAGGTATATAATATCCCCTGGTGCTGGATGAGAGCTCAACACTCATTTAAGACACCAGTATGGTGCTTCTGGGAGGCAGGGGCTATTGTGACCATCCCTGTAATACTGACAAGGACACTGAGGCACAGAAAGGGCAAGTGACTTGCCCAAGGTCCACAGCCAGCAAGTCTTGGAGCCAGGACGTGGATCTGGAGGCTAGGCTCCAGTGCCTGAGCTCTGACCCACCACACTCCGCTCTCATAAACACATCTCTTGATGTTATTTGCCCTGCTTTCCCTTCAAGGAACGTCCTCCCCATTGCCTCAGCTGATTCACATCCTGCCACTCAGTCACCAGACGTCCATGGTGTGTTGGGTACTCTGACCAGCCCGACCCGCTAGCAGCCAGTGAGGCCTCTGCTGCAGCACCCCCAAGCACCCACCTTCCCTGGTGGCCACCCCAGACCTTGTATTTCCAGCCCGCTGGCTGGAGTCAGGACAAGTATAGGATGCACCTAGAATCTGAGGAGCATGTTTAGCATGAGGGGTGTGTGGGGGCAGAGGGGCAAAGGGCCTCAGCTTCCCTGGCAGTCCCCAGTAGTCCAGGGACTGGCCTAGTGAGGGATGCTATCCCCTAGGGCCTGAGGTCCATTTCTGAAGGAGAACCACAGGACGTTAAACCCCCAGAGGGCCTTATGAGCCACCTAGTTTAACCTACTCTGGATGAATAAAATGAGGCCAAGAATCAGGGCCTCATTTACCAAGACCACAGTGTGGTCCACCTCACCTGGAATGAGGGCCCGAGGTCGAGGCTTCTGTCCTGCTCTACATGAGGAAGCCCTTGGCTAGTCGGCCTTCTTTCTGGGGCTCAGTGGGCTTATCTGAGCCAGGGGAACACAGTCTGCCTCCTCACCGCCCCTCCCCCCCAGACTCTCGAGCACGGGAGTGTGGGCCCCTCTGTGTGGCCACAGGCTGCACCTTACCTTTCCGGGTGAGGCTCTGGCCTCCCAGCTCCAGGTACCTGCACAGGGAAAAGAAGCAGAGGCCTTCCAGGTAGGCCTTGTCATACTCAGCATAGCAGTGCTCTGTCTCCCACCAGCTCGGTCCACACAGCTGCAGGTTTGGCTGACACCCAGCTCAGAGTCTCCAGGTCCAGGGACAGGTGGTCCTGACCATCAAAGCCAAACTGCCAGAAGCTGCTGGTATGGCCGTCTTCCCTGATCTCACAGCCGAACATCCGCTGAGTGCTGTGCATGCCTGTGCACGTGGGCGAGAAAGGCTGCAGTTTGCATGGGCTATGGGGTGGATCCCTGAGAGCCAGAGAGAAGCCCAGCACCCACGGGTGTTTCCGAAGGGTGGGGAGCAGGGTGGCGGCATTTAAAAAACAAATGCTCCCCGGGTAATTGTCATGAGCAGCCAGGGCTGAGAAGCCTGTTGGGCCTCTCACAGGAGGACACTTGAGTTCATAACTAGAGTCTGCATGCAGAGTGTGAAGGAAGGAGGACGTGGGGCAGTAGGAGCCTCTCACGTACCACTGCTCTGGTTGTGGTAGCCCATCACAGTCCACATCTCCACCTGCTGCACCTTTCCCCAGGCTCTCTGCTTCTGGGTCTCTGTCTCCCAGTACTGGGCGTCCATGGTTGCCATCCACGGGGCCTGGGGCTTGGCCCTGTCCACACGACTGTTGTAATGGATGAAGGGCTGGTCGTCCACGTAGCCTATAGCCAGAAACTGGGGAAGGCCCGGGCCTGGCTCTGACAGAGCCAGGTAGTGGTAGTGGAGAGAGTGTGTCCCTGAGAAGACACGAAATAGTCAGGCTCACATGCACTGCCAGGATTGGCACCATGGGCTGGTGTGACTGATGGGGACAGCAGTGGAAACCTATCCAGAGTATTTGCCATCAGTAAGAGCAAGAACTGGGGATTTCAGTTAAAAATATAAGGGTATCCAAATAGTTTAAATAAACAGTCAATCAATCAAACATCGAGGCCAAAGTTCATATGCTAAGGCCTGTGGACTTTATTTCTATTTCTAGGAAGTTTTCCACCCCACTTCCCCCCCCCAACCCCACTCAGGGTTTACTTACTTATACTTTACACTCTTCTCTGTAAGTGTGATTATCTGGTTTCCCATCTCACAATTAAAAAGGTATGATAAAAAAAATTGGTTGTTTGGCAGCTTAATTTCTGTGGAATTATTCATTCTCCAGAGATACCTGATAAAGCAGAGCCATTATTCCTAGCTTGAACCATTGCTGCCAAGTTGGTTGCATCTTGACTCCATTCCCTGCTCCCTCCTGTTCCTACACCAGACATTGCTAGTCATCTCTTCTCTTTAAGTCCAAATGCTGCCTCAAGGTTTGTTCTCCACCATCTCTAGAAGCACCAGCTTATCCATTCAACTTGGTGCTGGAGATGAAATCTATTTAGCAGCTCGCCCTGACTCCAGCTATGAAAACAAGTGCTGTACCTTTAAAAAACCTACCCCACCTTTCTCAGAGGTTCACCCACAGCTCACTCCTTCACTTTCTTTCTTTTTCTCTTTCTTTCTAACTTTTTTCCAAGTAGGCTCCAAACTGGAGCCCAATGCTGGACTTGAACTCATGACTCTGAGATCAAGACCTGAGCTGAGTTCAGGGGTCTGATGCTTAACCGACTGAGCACCCAGGGGCCCCTCCCTTACTTCATTTTTTTTAAAAAAAGGTTTTGCTCCGGGCCCCTGGGTGGCCTGCTCAGCTCCCTGCTGCCTTTCAAGGCCTACATGCCTATCACAACTCCCAGCCCAGGAGCACCCCCACTAATCTTAACTCAGTGGTTTGCAAGGAAACAGAATCCTGAGAGTCTGTCATTTCCCCGGAGGCCCACACCAGTCCAGGCCTGATGTCAGCCCTTCAATCACTTCCTACATTGATCCCTCTCACCTCACATAAGATTTCACCAGTGCAAGAGTCTCCTCGTCCTTTTCCTAAGGACACAGAGTTGGTGTGATTGGCCCCATTCCACAGAGGGAATCTGATTCTCCCTCTGCCCCTCACCCCGCTTGTGCTCTCATTCTCTCTCAAATAAATAAACAAAATAGGTTTTACTCAAATGCTACTTTCTCAGTGAATCCTTCCTTGCCTACTCTATTAAATATTTACCTTCCCAGCACTCCCCCTCGTGTTTTCTCTAGAGCATTACCACCACATAGAGAATATGCACTTTTACCTGGTTCTCTCTCTTTTTTTTTTTTAATTTTCTTGTTAGAGAGAGAGAGAGCACAAGCAGGGGGAGCTGCAGGCTCCCGGCTGAGTAAGGAGCCCGATGCGGGACTCGATCCCTGGACGCTGACGCTGGGATCGTGACCTGAGCCAAAGGCAGACGCTTAACCCACTGAGCCATCCAGGTGTCCCTACCTGTTTCTCTTGTTAATAGTCTGTCTCTCCCCTGTAATGTCAGTTCCCCAAGGGCAGAGATTCCTTCTTTCCCAGCCTAGAACAGCTTCTGGCACACAGTGGATACTCAACATTTGAATATTCAAATGTGAAAGGAGTCAAGCCCATCTCCACCCTCACAGCTCCGTTTAAACTCCACTGCAGCCACAGCAAACTGCCCCGGCCCTTTGTACCTGCAGTTCCTTCTGCCCCAGGCTGCTCCCTCTCTTCTCTCAGCCAATGCCCCTCATCCCTCAGGTTGCAGCTCAGGTGTCCCTTCCTCCAAGAAACCCTCCTGCTTCCACCCTGACATCCCTCAGAGCAGTCTCTGCTCCCTGTGAAACTGTGGGCTCCATGGGGTGGGCAATACATTGGACTGTGTCACCACTGTTTCCACAGGTCTTGGGGAGAAAGAACATCATGCTTGGCACACAGTGGATACTGCCGGCATTTATCGAGTTGGACAAAAAACAAGAGCATGAAAGGCAAGGATGATGATCACAGCTGTCATTTTTGGAGAATGACTGCTCTGTGCTCTGCACCAGTCTAACTGCTTTTCATTCATTATCCCAGTTGATCCTTAGTATAAACCTAAGACGTTGGTGTGACTGGCCCCATTCCACAGATGAAGGAACTGAGAGGCCCAGGGGAAGGTGAGTACAGTACCCAAAGCCATGCACTAGAAAGAGACGAGCCTGGATTCTCTCCCCAGAGCCTGCTTTTTCTAAGCTTAGGAGAAGGATGAGGAGCTCTCTTCTTGCACTGGTGAAATCTTATGTGAGGTGGGAGGGATCAATGTAGGAAGTGAGTGAAAGGCTAACATCAGGCCTGGACTGGTGTGGGCCTCCGGGGAAATGACGGACTCTCAGGATTCTGTTTCCTTGCAAACCACTGAGTTAAGATTAGTGGGGGTGCTCCTGGGCTGGGAGTTGTGATAGGCATATAGGCCTTGAAAGGAACAGAGGCTATGGCTTCTCTATGCTAAGGTGACCGACCACCTGCTCCTTGGCTCTGATCTGCAGCAGCTGTCTGTCCTGGATGTGAGGGAGGGCAAAGAGCCTGTGTCCTTGGGTAGTTGCCTCCTGGGTGGTGGGGAAGCCATGCATGTATGTTGTATGTTCTGTCCTGTCTCCTCCTCAGCTAAGGGCGCATGGTGTGGTAGGCTGAATTCTGGGCCCCTAACATATCCCAAACCTATGAATGTTACCTTATATGGTGACAGGGATTTTGTAGATGTGATTAAATTAGGAATCTTGAGATGGGGAGATTATCCTGGATTGTCTAGGTAGGCCCTGCATGTGTCATTATGAAAGGGGACAGAGGGACACTCCATGACTACCAGAGAAGGGGATGGGAAAATGGAACAGAGAAAGAGGCAGGAAGGTGCCACGAGCCAAGGAATGCAGCTCTAGAAGCTGCAAAAGGCAAAGAAACGGGTTCTCCCTGAGAGCCTCTGTAGGGAACTGTCCCGCGGCACCTTAGTTTCAGCCCAGAGAAGCCCATTTTGGACTTCTGACCTCCAGAACTCTAGGAGAATATGTTGTCCTTAAGCTACTAAGTTGTGGTCCCCTTGTTATAGCAGCTATAGAAAACCAATGCACATACTATGAGACCAAAGTCTGTTGTGTCTTGTGAGTTCAGTGGACAATTCAAACCCAGGAGCCCTGGATGTCCTGCTATCCTGAAACAGAGAGAAGGATGCACAGTCTGGGAAGAAGGATGTCCTCTGAAAGCTGTGCTTCAATGGCCAGTTACTTCTGGTTAAAAATGAAGGGAAGTCTATCCATGTCTTATTTTGTAAAGTTACAAAATAGTTCTAAAGCACTTAGGTGCTGGGCCCTGTCCCAAGCACTTTATGAAATTTTGGTTCTGTTAACCCTCATAACAATTTTACTGGGCAGGTACTATTGTGCCAATCTATGACCAATGGGGAAACTGAGGCCCAAAAAGGCAAAATCACCTGCCAAGTAGCGGAAAGCAGGGCCAGACCGCACACCCGGATTCTCAAGATGTCCCCTGGCCTGCACCTGCCCTTTAGTGAACCCACTGGCTGGGGACACACAAGCAGCCCTCTCCCCATGGCATCTCCCCACTCTCTGCCCTCCACAGACACCACCTTGGACATGGTTTCAATGGGCTCAGCTCTGCCCAGCCTTGCCCATATGGCCAGGCGGGGCCCTCCCTGTGGCCCCATTCAGCAAGTACTTTCTGAGCACCTGCTGTTTATCTGGCCCTCTCGGAGACCCTGAGGATGCTGGGAAAGCAGAAGAACTACAACTGCCTGCTTTTAGGCAGCTTCCATGAATGTAGGATAAGCAAGATAAATGAATAAAATGTATGACAGGCTGGCCAGCAATAAATTCTGAGGGGGGAAAAAATAAAGGAGAGACATACAAAGCATTAGGGGTGGGGTTTAAAATTTTAGATAGAATGGACGGGGAAGCCCCCCTCCCCAAGGAAACTCCTGAATAAAGACCTAAAGGAGCCAGCCGTGTAAAGGTCTAGGAGAGAGCATTCCGGGTCTGCAGAAGGGAAAGCCATTGGAAAGGTCCTGGGGCAGTAGTATTCTTCTGGTGTTCTGAGGCTTTTGCAGTAACATGGGAGAAAAATAAAATGGTGGTGTGACTCAGTAGCTGTAGGTGATAGCAGTAGGGGTGAAAGAAGGGGTTGAATCCCAAATCCTTCCTAGGCTTGTCCAGATGGTGCCTGGAATGGCCTGGATACAGCCTCTGGCCTACCCCTTCCTGCCATGGGGGCTCTGGTTTCTGGCATCAGCTCTGCCTTGGACTTTTTCACCCATGGTCTACACCTTGGCATCTGGTGCCCATCCTGGGAATTGGAACTATTCAAAGACAAGTTCATGATTGTGGCCCCCTCATTCAGCTGGCTTCCAGGTACTGCTTCCCACATACCCAGTGAGGGGGCCACCATCCCTGAAAATCCCACTGCTGTCTACTCTGCCCACTAGATGGTCCTGGGAAACCAGCTTGCTCTCTGTGGGGGCTCACAGGCTGCCCACACCTGTCTTTTTGCTCCAGCAGAACAGTTTGAGCTGGGACTAGATTCCTCCTTGCTAACTGGATCCAGGAGGGATCCTCATGCCTGGGGCTCCAGCCCAGAGTGAGGAATCATCAGGCTACCTCTGTAGTTTTGGAGGAAACACCCCTGCCAGCCTGGGGTCAGTGCCAGGCATGGTGCGACCACAGCAGGAGGAAGTGGGGGCCACATGGCAGATGTCCCAGAGGAATCTGCTCATGCTGTGACATGGCCTAAGTGGCCACATGCCCTTTGCTGCCTCAGGCCCCGTGTCATCAGCCACCCTTTTTTCCCTCACTGCTGCGTCCTGGTCACTGGGCCACATCGCCAGCCCCACAAAAAGGGGCAGTCCTACCCAGCCTCCCTCTTTCTCTGACTGGTGGGAGAGGGAGGTGCCCCACCCCTTTCCTACAATCCATGTGGCATTGTCATTGTCTAGCTGTGTGGCCTTGTTCCACAGCTCCAGGCTTTGATTTCTTCATCTGTAGGTGAGGGCAATTGTTTGACCTTGTCCACAGTGCTGGAGCATTCAGTGAGGTAATAAACATAAAGAAGTGTAGGCACGAAGGAAGGGTTCTGCAGACATCATTTACTTAGCCTGTCTGGAAGGGAGAGGTGGGCATGGGGAAAAGAGAGCTGGAGTGTGTGTGTTGGGGGGGTGAGGGTGGTGAAAGATACCTGAGTGAAGAAGCCCCCTGGGGCACCCTCCAGAGGGTCTGGTCTCTGTGCACCCCACCTGAGCAGAGGCAGTCTACCAGATTCCCAGACTGTGGAGATGCCCTCCTGCGTGCTGGGGGCTCCTGGCCTCTGCCATCTTGCCCCCCTTTTCAGCAGGTAGGCAGTGCCTTACCTCCAGGCCATGGCTTGTTTTCTAACTTCAGGTTGGCTAGTTCTGCCATCACCACCTTCGCTAAGGAAGCCGGGCTATCGGCCACCACAGGCAGCCCCCAAGGAGACTCTGCAAAGGGGAAATGGAAAAGGAAAATATGAATCTCAAGGCATAAATACCCTACACATCCTTGTCTCTGCTTAGAGGGATGGTATGAAATGACAAAGAGAGGCATATTGGAAGGGAGGAGGGACGTGGGAGCCCTGTCTCAGGATTGCCTGGAAACTTCTCTAGCACGGGGTATAAAACCAACAGGGCTGAGTTCTGGGTCTTGGTGCCAGAGCTTTAGAAATATTGATTCATGGCATTTTTACTGCATTCCTGTGAGGTAGGCCCTGACTCTTCCCACTTAAGAGGGAAGCCGGGACTGGGTTGCCTCTTCCTCTGCCAGAGGTTCTCCAGCTCCAGCCCCTCCTGGCAGCTTTGACACTTCTGCTATTGATAAATTTAGTTGGTTTGGAGGGAAGAGGAGAGGATACTAGCAGGCATTGAAACCTCCCAGGTGATGCTCATATGCTACCAGGTGGAGAACCCATGCCCTCTTGGTTCTGCCTGGTCCTGCCCAGCTCTGTCCACTTGCTCAGCTGTGCCCTTGCAATATTACCCACTTGGCAAACAGCTGTTGAGCACCTACTACAAGCCAGGCACTGAGCTAGGTGGGGGTGTATATGGGGACAGAAATAAACCAAGACAGTCATGGGCCTGAAAAACCTCAGGTCTGACAGGGAGGATGTAATTGAACAAATAAATAAGTAGGTCCAATAAGGTGAGTGGGGCTGATGAGTGCTGTGGTGCAGGAAGTCCCAGGCATCAGGAACACACCGGGGTGGGAAGGTGTTGGAGTCAGGGGCCTTATAGGCTGAAACCTGAACGGGACCTCACCAGCTGTGAGTTACGAGGCAGTGGGGTGGGTAAGGAGGGAAGAACATTCTAGGCTAGTGAATCTAGTGTGGTTCCAGGACCAGTTGCATCAGCATCACCTGGGAACTTGCTAGAAATGCGAATTCGCAGGACCCAACCTAGCCCTACTGAATCCGAAGCTCTGAGGGTGGGGTCCAGCTTTCTGTAGTTCACCAAGCCCTCTGGGTGATTCTAAAGTTTGAGCCACTTCAAAATTCCCTGCTGCAGCACTCATGATATCTGCCCCATGAAAGCCACTTCCTAACTCCCTAGCTTCTGAAGGGAAAGTCTGGCATCCAGGAGTGTTGTGAGGGGCCTGCCCCAAACCCCTGGCTACCTCCCCTCCATGTGCCATCTCTCTCCTGCAGTTGGGTACATCCCAGGGTTATCTCTCCACTCCTTCCCTCCTCCTTGGCTTGGGGTCCCCACTCCCTAGGTCAGCCCCAGCCATTCCCTCCATAAGGAGACGGGGCCTATGTGCAAACACCCATGACCATCCCTGCCACACAGAATTGGAATCACCTGTATGCCCCTATATTATGCCCAGGGAGGGTTGGGGGGGACTGTATGATCCTGAAAACCAATAGAGTCTTGGCCCAGAGACACAGTGGCCCATGCCCTATGGGGTCCTGTCCCAAGGACCAAACTCTCCCCCAATCTTTCCAGACATCCAAGGTGATTCTCCTTCAAATGTTTTCCATGGGCGCTGAGGGCTGAATCCTCCCCTAGGTCCATCCTGTTGACTTCAGGAGCCTCAATTTGGAGGGAAAAAAGAACCTCTTTACTTTCACTAAGGCTGAAATTTAGCCTTTCTCCTATGGTGAAGGCAGCAAAGCTCAGCAGGATTAGCAGAACCCCTGCTTTGGATTTGGACAGAAGCCACAGGTGCTTTTGAATCACATGACAGTTGGTGCACACACCTGGACATATGCTTTACTCTCATTCCTAATTCTGGGAATGGTTGCTATTTGGTGCATTATTTAACGTGTTAACTTAGAAGCACACATACTACATCTCACACATTTATATTTCTAGTTAAAAAGTTTTAGTAGCTTTATAGAAACGTAACTAGATTCCTTCGTAGTCCTATGTATTTCTATTTATTTATGTTTGTTTATTTAGAGAGCACGCTAGCGCGGGAGGGGCAGAGAGCGAGAGTGAGAATCTTAAACAGGCTCCACCTCACACTCAGCGGGGAGCCTTACAGGGGGCTCCATCTCCTGACCTGAACCGAAATCAAGAGTCCGAAGCTTAACCCACTGAACAACCCAGACGCCCCCCCGGTCAAATGTATTTCATTTGATGCATTAAAAACATTCTGAGACCGGGTCCAAAGCATAAAAAAGGTCAAGAACTCCGACTTCAGATCCTGCCAGGAAGCGTCCTCTCTGCGCCCTAGTTTAAATCTGTAAATAGTAGTAAATCGAGGATTGTTCTGTGAGTTGAAATGGCTTCTTGTATGTGAAGCACTTAGAACAGCTTGGAGCGAGGGTGACCAGCTACTGTTACTGCTGTGACGGTGTACACTTCCGCATGTGTGCTAAGTGTTCCGGTATCTGTGTGGCCAGGAGGAGCGGTGCCCCATGGCAGCCGGCGGGGAGGGGAGGAAGGGGGAATCCAGGATGAGGTCAGCCTCAGGTACCAATGCCAGAAGAATTAAAACTAGGAAAGAATGGAAATTCCGGGTCAGGTCAGAGAAATCCTCATGGCACCTACTCCCCCAACACCCACGGTAACTCGGAAGTGCCTCGCCACGCCTCCAGGGACGCCCACCATGAAGGGCGGGCACTGCCCGAGCTAGCTGGCTGGGGACGCGCCAGCCCTCTCAGATTTCTGCCCCCCACAGAGCTTTCCTAAGGACCTTCCTGGAGGACCCAGCCCCAGGAACCGAGCGGCGTCCTACGGAGGGGGTGCCACGGGGACCCCCGAGGAGCTACGGCATCGGCTGCGTCCAGGCCGGGGTCACGGCCAGCCCTCCGCTTCCCGCCGGCTTCCGGCAGGACTCTAAGCCAGATCCGGGTGCCACAGTGGAGGCCGCAAACGGGGGCTCTAACCCAGGGCTCAACGCCACCTGCGATCCTGGGTCTGCTCCCCAGCTCACCATCCCCGGTCCCCAAACCCGGAAGTGGCCTCCGATCACTCCCTGCCTCCCTTCGCCCCAACCGCGCGCTGGCTGGCGGCCCCTGGGGTTCTGCCCCAGGGCCCCCGCCTCTCCGCCCAGTCACCTGCCGCGCGTTCCGGCACTAGACGAAAAAGCTGCAGGTACAGCAGCATTGTCCGCAGCGGCGTCCAGGCGCGCGCGCTCCCGAGGACCCGCGAGCCCGGGCCAGCCAGCCTGGCGCGCAGCCCCCGGGCGTCGATTATTTCGCAGGAGTCGGTCCTCAGCTGTGGGGCGGGTGGCTTGGAGCTAATCCCGGAGAGCTAGCGCTCAGGTTCGGGAAGGCGGAACACCTGCGACCTCAGGCGGCTCCGCTCGGCTCTGGCTCCGCCCTGCCCCGCCCCTCCCCATGCGGCTGGGCTCGGGCTCCCGCTCCGGCTCCCAAACACCATCGTCAGCCCCCACCCCACAGCTCCCAGATGTCCCCTTTGCTGGGCCTCTGAAGTAGAACCGCCCCCCCGCAAATTACATATATGTGTATGAGAAGCAATCTTGTTGGTAATTGTCAAATATAGCTTACAGGATACTTCACTCCCTCATGAAATGAGACCCAGAGGTGGAGCTAACATAAGTGTCGTTTGGAAACTTAGGCAGGTGTCTGCAACAAGTATCATGTGATTCGAAAACACCTGTGGTTTCCACTAAGGACGAAAGCACAAGTCTTGCTAGTACTGCTGAGCTTTGCTACCTCCATTCATTAGGGGAAGAATGGCTAAATTTAATAAAGGTTATTTTTCCCGTCCAGGTTCACAGATCCCCTGAATTCTCACCAGGGACCCTCATGTTTTGGATAATAGTTTTCACTTGGGTGGTTTCTGATATTTGAAAATTCATGGGGAGGACTTTGGCAGCCCTTATTGGGGTGCGTTGGGGGAGCTCCTCACCTGTCAGGGGCGGGGCCGAGAATGCCAGAAGTCTAGCCCTACCGGCTCTTGAAGCCAAGATGCCCATGGTGTCTTGCCAGGCCTTCACCAAAGAAGAAGTCCGATTGTAATGATCTGCGTCGAGAGCTCATTTGTCCCGTTTTAATATTGTCAAAGGAACACTCGCAGAGGATAGAGCAGAGTTGCAAGGAAGGTGGGCATCAAAAAGTCCGGTAACCAAATAAAAATGTTTAAAGAAAAAAACCTGTAAAATTAATGTTTGCATTGTGATATGATTGTTATAGTCACAATGGTTGTGACATATCTGCAGATTAGCATTGCAAAAATCAAGGAGAAAGTTATTTTTCTAGGCAATCCAGGTTTATTTTGGGGGCCAAACCAAATAGAGCAACTTGGTTAGTCTTGGTGTGTTTCAAGGTATAAAGCAGGATGACCAACTTGTCCTGGCTTTAGCACTGAAAGTTCTGCATCCTGGGGCCCCCTCAGTCCTGGACAAACCAGGACAGTTGGCTGTGGGGAACGATGGGCCTCATCATAACGACTCAGGCAAATAGCATTTTTGCTTCCACAGTAGACGCTGAATCTTCCAGGAAGGCGGCTATGCTACAGATGGAAGGGAGGTGGTAGTTTGTATTGTCAGCTACTTTGCTGAGAGTGGCTTACTTCTTGCAGCACTGTGTCCTTACCACAGCTGAGTTCTGGATTGCCCACACAGCACACTTGATCAGTGGCATTGGTAGCTGTTGTATTTATAGACGTTTTGCATATCCATTCAAGGGCCTGACTAATCATTATGTTTTCTATATAGTCAAGCCAAACATCTACATATTGAGACATATGTTATGACTGTATTATGATTTAATTGTGAATACTTTTTGTTACAATTAGGGCATTATATTCATTTTAATTTTTAATTCTGTGGGTGTGTAGGTTAAATTATCTTTGGAGTTCCCTTAAGGACAGGAAAAGATGTTACAAAACCTTTGTGATAAGGAGAGCTTTTCTGGTGGGGCTCAGACACACACCCACACCCACCACAGGTGAAACTTGGACCCTGAGCAGGAAGAAGGACCAGGTAGTGGAAAGTCTCTCAGAGGTGGTGACAGTTGACCCCGGTCCTGACAGAAAGGGTAAGGAAGATGAAGGTAGGATGAAAAGGAGTTTTGGGGGGGCGCCTGGGTGGCTCAGTTAGTTAAGCGGCCGACTCTTGATTTCAGCTCAGTTCATGATATTAGGGTCCTGGGACTGAGCCCTGCATTGGGCTCTGCACTCAGCGCTGAGTCTGCTTGAGGATTTTTCTTTCCCTCTCCCTCTGCCCCTCCCTCCTACCCCCCACCCACCCACTCATGTACTCTCTCTCTGGAATAAATAAATCTTAGAAAAGACAAGCAGTTTGGGGGAGGTAAATACAGCTATACCTCAAGGCCAGCAGAGAGGTGTGTGGTGAACTAAGCTGCTGGGGAAAGAGAAAGCCATGCATCTGAGCAGGTTGTCAAAGCCCTACCCCAGGAGGCCAGCCTCACGAAGCATCTTCATGGATAGGTCTTTCTGAGAGGTCTGGGAACCCAGCCAGGCATCCTGCTGTGCACTCACTGCTTCCTCTAGGGTAGGCAGTGTCTCTGGAGCTGCTCCTGGGCCCCTCCTGCTTGCCCGTTATTATAGTCTTAGCCCAGAGACACAGTGACCCACTCCCTTGGGGTCTCTTTTCCAGGGACATTGTCCAAACTCTCCCCTATCCCTGGCTCCACTCTCTCCACTGACCTCTTGCTCAGGCATTCAGGGTGATTCTCCTTCAAGTTTTTCCTTCAAGGAACTGAGGGCTGAATCTTCCTGTAGGTGCACCTGAGACTTTTAGATCCCAGATCCCTCCCTGTGGTGTAGCTCACCTTTCAGGACTGAGGGCCCAGGCACTGGAGCAGAATCCTAGGCTTACTCCTAGCAGGGTGGGGAGGCTCATCATCAAAGTCAAGTTGTTAAAATCAATTACCTTATAGCTCAAACAGTAAGCTAAAAACAAGTCCATTAATAAGATAACCAACAATTCTAAAGTTAGCAATAAAGGCAGGGACAACAATAATTAGTTTTACAGAGTGTACTGGGTCGGGATTTCTGTGGGTGAGGCCTTTCATAGGCTTCTGCAGCACCTGCCAGTCTCTGAGAGACACGGATTCTGAGTCCTCTTTTGACTGTCCAAACCCCTTGTTGAAGGAAGAAAGCACCATTCAGAAGCTGAGATGGAAAGCTGAGTCTATTTGGTGCTTAAGCACTTGAGAGCTTGTAAGACACAGTCCCTTTGAGCAAAGCAGAAGTGACCTGATATAGGTTTTTGGGAAGCATGGTGTCAGGGATTGGGGGATTTTCAGAGTCGAGAGTGTTTATATTCAGTGGTGGCTGATGTGTGTCTGTTGCTGAATGGCCGACTTTCAGAAGTGTGGTCACTGGGGCAAATTGTCGCTGATGGATGATCACACAGCTTGAAAACAGGTTCTGGGGGTTCCATGTGGGAGTTACAAATTCTCATCCTTCACAACCTTTTTGGCTAAGGTGTCATCTACCAATAATAGACTCCTTGGCTAATGTCTTCGCTCCTCTGGCTTGACAGCTGGAAGAAGCATGGAAGACGGCAAGCAGGACACATTTCTCTTAGGTAGTGTCTGCTGGCTCCAGGGAGTGTGGTGCTGTCTACATTTGCCCAAGAGCAGGAGGAAACCACAAAATGCTTGGGGCTAGAGCCCTTGCCCACTCTCATGCCTCTCTCACCTCAGGGTCTACTTAGCCCACCTTTAGAGAAGGATGAGGCAAGAGAAGAAATACTAAAGGTTGTCCAGGTCCACAAGTCAGGAGGGATGCTGGAGGATGGGTGGGGTGGACGGAGAGAAAGGAGTGGAAGTGGATGAGGGCTGCTGGCTGGTGAGGATGTAAAGCTAAAGTGACCTCATGCTTGATGGCTAACAAGCCATCCCAGGATAGCAAGGGAACATGGTTGGGATCCTCCAACCCTGATGGGACATACAGCCTTGTAAAGCTCACAGACCTCTTGGAAGGGCCAACTCCACATCGGAGGGCAAGCCTGAGTTAGCACTCCTGCCCCCACGATGGCCTGGCCACCTCTACTACGGGGCTGTCCCTCAACACCTATGTTTGGAGGATGGCACGTCTCTCTGACCCTCCGGAGAGGATGGGGGCTAGGGGAAGGGAGGGGCAGGAGGACTCCAAAACTGTGGGCAGCCTTGCCTGAGGGTCTGCAGCCCAGGAAAGCATCCTGTGCTCCTGTGACCCCCAGCAGTGACTCTTCCTGGCTGCTCCATGGTGCAGGAGGACAGGAGGACAGGCAGACGAGGAGGGTGAGGACGAAGGAAGAATGAGTGACCCACTGCTGGCCAGCAGCTAAAAGGAAGGGGTCCTCACAAGGAAAATCTGTGTCCTAAGATGGCCGATGGAGCCAGTGAGAGAGTCCCAGTCCTTGCCCCGGGGCTCTTCTGGGTTCTTCTCCCTGCCCCACTTCGCGCACTCGCCAAAAGTGCCAAGTATGTGGAAGTAGAAGTGTATAAATTGCCCCCTTTGTTTGTGCTCGGGGCTCAGACCTTTGGACACCACTCTCCTCTGAGCCCGCCGGCGCTAAATACACCCCTTACCCTCCCAGATCTCCGAGTGCCGCTTGGTTCTTCCGCCGGGCGGTCCAGCCCAGGTTCCGTAACAGTCCCACAGAGACTCCTATACGGGCAGGAGGACAGGGTAGTGATTTCTCCCTCAGAACCTAGTCCTTACCACAGAAGGTATTATCAGGTGGATGGCTGACCATGTGGTCAGGCTCTGGGACAACGTAGAGTCCTTCTGAAGGGAAGGAGACCCGGCCTTATGGAGATCTGTCCAACCAGTGCAGGAAGGGTGCCTTCTGACCACCCCTGGGACCCCCCAAGGAGCCCCTACATGTGCGAGAGCAGACAAGACCAGTGGTCCTGCAGATATGCTATTTTCAAGATCTGGCTGTTTGCTTTTCTGAGGAATCATTAAACTTGCTTTTTCCACCTCTGGTATTTCCTACATGTGAAAATTAGCTCTGGAGTTCACTTTTGCTTTCTGTTTTCTAATAATTATTGTCATTGAAGGAGACTGCTTTTGTTGTTGTTATTTACTCAGATGCTATTTATAACATTCTTGTCCCTGGAAGAGCTGAGGCCAGAAACTGGGATGTTTCCCAAGAGAAAGAAAATTGATTCTAACCAGGTCTCCTGGAATCTGTGTCTCCAGGGGATTTAGGAATCCTCTGAAATTGTCAAATGTTGCGCCTATGCTTTTTTGGAAGGGGGCGGGGGGATGTCATTGGTTACAAATTTAACAATATTCTCAAAATGTATTTGACCAAGAAAAGGTGACGACTGGCTCAGAAAGATGCTGCCCCAAATCCTCTCAAATGAAACAATTCTGGGATCCCATGGATAAAGGTGAGAAAAGAGAGGATGGAAG